GGGGGGAATGAAACAGGGGGGAATGAAACAGGAGGGAAGGGGGCAGAGCACAACCTTTGAAAGAATGACGTAGCCCGAGGACATGACATAAACGGATTAGAACCACATGGGTCCAAATTGGCAGACAAGTTGACTTCCACTAGACCTTGAACCTCAGTATACGCTCACTGTAACACATCAGCCAGCTAAATGACACACCACAGGCGTCATGACAGTTCCAAGACTGACCAAAAGGATCAAAAAGTGGGCGGTGGCCCAATTCCTGGAAATCCCCACCCCTTCCCAAAATAGCTGGAATACTCCTCCCACTCATTAGCCTATGAAATTACCCACCCCTATAAAAACTGACAACCCCACACCCTGGTGCCTTTCTCACCTTCTGAGATGGCCCACAGTCTGTCTGTGGAGTGTGTTTCTCTCTAAATAAATTCAGTTCTTACCTATCAAAAAAAATTTACAAACTTCTTTGAAAGACATTTTTTTGTTTTGTTTTGTTCTTTAATTAATTATTTATTTTTGGCTGTATTGGGTCTTCGCTGCTGTGCGCGAGCTTTCTCTAGTTGTGGAGAGCAGGGGCTACTCTTTGTTGCAATGCGTGGGCTTCTCATTGCGGTGGCTTCTCTTGTTGCGGAACACGGGCTCTAGGTGCACAGGCTTCAGTAGTTGTGGCATGTGGGCTCAGTAGTTGTGGCTCGTGGGCTCTAGAGCACAGGCGCAGTAGTTGTGGCACACGGGCTTAGTTGCTCCACGGCATGTGGGATCTTCCCGGACCAGGGCTCGAACCCGTGTCCCCTGTGTTGGCAGGCAGATTCTTAACCACTGCACCACCAGGGAAGTCCCAAAAGACATTGTTAAGAAAATGAAAAGACAGACCAGGGGAATGGGAGAAAATATTTACAAATAATATCTGATAAAGGACTTGTGCCCAGACCTCTGTAGGACTCTCAAGACTCAGTGATAAGAAAACAAACATCCCAATAAAAAAAGGGGCCAATGATTTGAATAGATGCTTCATCAAATAAGGTATATGGATGGTAAATTAGTTCAGCATCATTAACCATTAGAAAAATGTTAAGTCCACCTCGAGATACCGCAGCACACCTATTAGCACGTCTAGAAGATAAAGGCTGGCCATCCCAAGTGTTTGCGAGGATGTGGAGCTCCAATGGGAGCTCACACACCGCTGGTGCGAATGCAGGTGATCCAACCACTGTGGAAAACAATTCAGCAATTGTTTTTGAAAGCTCACCGTACAACTGCCTTATCGTCCAGCCACTCCCTCCTGGGTGTTTACCTGAGAGAAATGGAAGCCTCTCCACCCAGAGGCTTACACACAGATATACCCACAACACAAACTGGGAGCAGCCTGCGTTCACTAATAGGCGAATGGAAAAACATCTGTAGTTCTGAGCGAACAGGTGGTACTGAGTGCGAGAAACCAGAAAAGAGCACTACTGCGTGACTCTATTTATGTGAAATTCTGGAAAATGCAAGCTAACTTATTTGTGATAGAAAGCAAATCAGGGAATTTCTTGGTGGTCCAGTGGTTAGGACTCCGCACTCTCACTGCCAAGGGCCTGGGTTCGATCCCTGGTTGGGGAACTAAGATCCCACAAGGCACTCAGCCAAAAAAAAGCAAATCAGCAACTGCCTGGGGAGGGAGACAGGGAGCTCACCAAGGCGGACAGACAGGGGCATGAGGAAGCTGGGGATGGGGTTTGTATGCTGGTCACGTTCATCAGACTTTAAATATGTACCGTGTATTGCATGTCAGTCATAGTCAACAAAGCTGTAAGAAAGTCGTTTGAGTCGCCCTTTACACAACCAAGAGGAGATGTCTGGGCAGCCAGGTCTGTGGTCTGGAGCCTGGGGGCAATTAGGAATGAGTGGTCAGTGCTGATGGGCTCCTGGGTGGGAGGGTCCATGGAGCAGGGCTCTGGATCTCCTAACACTGGGGGTCAGGGCGGAGCAAAGCTGGAGGTCACTGAGTGTCTGTGTCCCCCATTCCTGTTTCGAAGCCAACCCCGCAATATGATAGGATTGGGAGGTGGGGCCTTTGAGAGTCACTAGGGTCAGCTGAGGCCGTGAGGGTGGGGCCCCATGATGAGCTGAGTAGCACAGACGCTGGAGCTCTTGCTGCCGCGTGGGGACGTGGGGAGAAGGCCGCCTGCAGGCTAGGAAGAGGCCCCACCAGACCGGACCCTGAGCTGTGATGTGAGCTGCCATCCGCGGTGTCCATCTCAGCAGCGCCGGCAGAATGAAGCCTCAGAGGTGAGCCGAGCCCGTGTGTGTTAATCAAACATTCGGCTCGGAGGCCTGGGGGCTGAGAGTGTGTTAGAATCAGTGGGTGGTAGGAGCACATGGTGGTCACGTGACGAAGCCAACGCGGCCAGACGCAGCGCCCGTGCTCGCAGGTGGGGGTGGGGGTGGCTGTAGCCGCCCCGCGTGGGGACCTCAGCCCTCCTCCGGGGTCCTTGCCCGAGCCGCCCCCGCCCTCTGAGGCTGCAGCGCCACTGGGTGTGGGAGCTCGTGTGCTGGGCTGAGGAGGGTGTGGGCATCCCCTGCCCCGTGCCCCTGATCAGAGTGGAAGTGAGCCGACTTAGGTACCCGGGGTCTTCAATTCCAGCACATCCCTCTCGCGGGTGGTGGGCTAGCCCTCGGGGCTGCCTGCCCAGGGCAGTGGGAGTGGGGTGTGTGTCTGTGTGTGTGCGCGTGTGCCTGTGCAAGGGGCTTGTCGGGGTTGAAGGCTCTGTGCCCGGAGCCTGGGGCCAAGAGAGGCAGGGTGTTTGGAGCTCCCTGGGAACCCCTTCCCTCCTGGGGGCTGCCGTACCTCTCCCTCCCTGCCTTGGACCCTGACCCAGACGTCAGAGCGGGCAGTGCAGCCGAGGGGAGGAAAGGGAGCCTGGTGCCCAGATCCTTCATGCCCCCCAAGTGTCAAGGGAGAGAGCCCTGTGTTCTGGTCTCTAGCTGTTGGCAGAACTTCCGTGGCCCAGGCTAGGGGTAGTGGCTGCTGGCAGGGCAAATCCCAGAGAAGCCAGGAGCTGCCCTCGGCCCCCCGGTGGGCTGGCTGGACTGGCCTGAGCCCGTGGGGCAGTGGAGGCAGAATCGTGACCAAGCCAGGGAACTGGCCCTGGAGTCCTGCTGACCTGCCTGATGCTCTGGGGCCTGGCCATGTTTCACATGTGGGGGATAGGAGGTCTGCCCTGGCCACTTGGACATGTGATGTGAGTGCAGTGAGCGACCCAAACGGGCCATTCGTGGAAGAAAGGTTGGTTTTCTTCTAAGACAGTTTTGGTCAAGATTTCTTGTAATGAGTCGCTGGGATTTTAGAGGCGGGATACGCTCATTAAGCCTGGGCCACTTTCTCCCGAGGGCTCCACGGCGTCCCCCGGCCAGCTGGTCAGTGGCCAGTCTGGACAGAACCTGGGCCCCCTGCTCTGCCACAGGATGAGGAAGGGGGACCCAGTGGCAGCCTCGAGGGGACAGACAGCGGCACCTGTGTACAGAGGGCGGCCGAGGGACTCACTGCCCGCTGGGCCCCCTACACGCTACACTTCACACACCAGGTTAAAACATGGGATTCGTTCACGTGCACATAACTCAGTTTAAACAGTGACTAGAACTGATGCCTGGCAAATTTCTAGAAGGGTTGTTAAGACCCTCACAAGTTCTGTCTTGCTGGAAACCACATTTAAAACTCGGAACCTGTGGGCTTCCCTGGTGGCGCAGTGGTTGAGAGTCCGCCTGCCGATGCAGGGGACGCGGGTTCGTGCCCCGGTCCGGGAAGATCCCACATGGCTCAGAGCAGCTAAGCCCGTGAGCCATGGCCGCTGAGCCTGCGCGTCCGGAGCCTGTGCTCCGCAACGGGAGAGGCCACAAAAGTGAGAGGCCCGCGTACCACAAAAAAAAAAAAAAAAAAAAAAAGTTTAAGAAAAATTAAAGTAAAACGCACTGTTTTCCTGTTTGGTATACAGCTTTGTGAGTTTTAGCACATGTGTACATATTTGTGTAACCACTACAACCCGGCTTTGTTTTTGTGTAAAATGGTGATAAATGTTTGGACCTCACCCTCATTAATGTTCCCCAGCTTTAAAAGAAGCCCAGTGACTTGTGTGATTGAGGTTGCATTCGCTCACGGCAAAACCCAGGCTCAGGTCACACCTGTGGCTCAGACGCAGAAGCCACTTGGGGTGCCGCGTGAGGTGGTGGTGGAATCGTCTTGAAGCAAAAGTGCTGAAGAGATGCTTGCTCAGGGCTGAGCGAGCTTGGCGGGTGTGGGCTGCATGCGAGGGGCGACCTGTCCTGAGTGACCGTTTGCTGCTGGACGTTCACAGGCCACGTCCAAATACAGAAGAAACGTCCCAGGCACAGAGGGACATGCGTCTGTCCATCGTGCTCTGTTCCAGCTCAGCTTCCGGCCTCTGGCTCCCTGTCCCCACAGTGCGCTCACAGCCTCTCACTGTCAGTGATTCGGGTCCAGGACGGACCGAACGTCCTCCAGGTTCTCACAGAGTCAATGGTGCAAGTGCAGATTTTATAACATAGTAGAAATAAAGTAAGACTGCAGAACCCCCGAGCCCAGCTGTCCACCAATGGTGCTGGACATGGTGAAGAAGGCCCCACATAGTGGGCATGCAATGCCTTGTCATCCCTCTTCATCTTAGATGCTTGTTTTCGTGCAATGCCTTGTCATCCCTCTTCATCTTAGATGCTTGTTTTCGTTAACTGGCTCCAGCAGTGATTAGAGCACGCCCCCCCGAGAACCTGGGTGGTTCATCAGCCGCAGAACAGGACCTGGTGGGGGACTTTGAGCCCATCTGTCAGCCTTGGGAGCTGGACACCACTGACCTGGCTCTAAAGCCCCTTGAACCTTTGTACCGACAGGGAAGGGATGTGCACATTTGCTTGTCACCTTCTGAGTGACTTTGTGGGAAATAACCTGTGGGTTGTGTGATGAGCTGTTTTTCTCTGTTAATTGTGTCCATACTAATTGCTTCCAGGTGTTTACCTCCAATGGCCCCACCGTGATCATGCCCACCTGGTTCTGCTCCCGAGCCTGGTTCTCCCACGTGGGCCCATTTGACGAGGGCGGGCGGGTAAGTGCATGTCCCGTGGATTCCTCCTCTGGGCTGGGCGGGGCCGTGCTGGGCCGCCGTACCCCGTCAGGGCCTTTGCAGCGCTTCCTGCTTCCGGGCCGGGCGTGCTGAGCTTCCCAGGGTGCAGCTGGGGCACCACTCGGCCTGTGTTGTGCGGGAAGCAGGGGATTTCTGTGTGAAGGCTGTGGGTGCCGGGCGTCTGCTCCTGGCTTACACCTGCCCGGCCCTGGTTGCCTCATCCTGCTTTAAGAGCTGTTTGTGGGAAAGCGCAGGAGGTGGGCAGTGTCATCCTGCCACCCCTGGACGGCAGCGGGGGAAGAGCTCCCCAGTTCTCCCGTGGCCGGTGGCCCTGGGGTGTTTGGGTCCAAGCTGGCCTGGCTCCTTCGTCTGCACCCTCGCCTACCTGAGGGGCCTCACCTGCAGAGCGGGGCCCACGCTGGTCTCCGGGCTCCGGCCTAGAAATGGGGACGCGACGCTGACCTGCTCCCCTCCCACCCCGACGGTCTTAAGAGTGAGCACTCCGACACCGATCAGAAGGTAAACCTGAGGGTTAGTTTATTTTCCCTTAACCCCCCCGCCCTTAAATTGGCTTTGAGATCATGAGTTCTGGTCCTCGTGGTGGAAGGGGTGGGCCAGGCTTGTTAAGGCCCATCAGGCTGGAAGGTGGGGGTAACTCAGGCCCAGGCTCACCGTCTGCCCCAGAACCTTGGCCACGGTCCTGCCTGCTCTGAATGTCCTCTCCACTTCGGGGGGACCTTCACTGACTGCACAGGGGCCGCTTGGAGCCAACCCCCTCCCTGCTCCTACCCGGCATTCCTCTGCCCACTCCCCTGCCCGTCACGCACACAGTCTCATTTTAGAGGGAGAGGCTGGCTCCCCCACTGCCCCCTGCACTGGACCCTGGCCGGACGGTCCCTCATGGTCGCCCAGACGTGCCCTCCAGGAGTAGTGCTGGTCTCAGGTTTACAAACCAGGGGCTCGAGGGGAGCATAGTGCCCTGAGGGCTGGACTTAGGTTTGGGGACTGGTCCTCAGCTGATTCTCCAGGCCCAAGAGGCTGCAGTTCTTGCCCATGGAGAGAAGGGCAGGGAACCAAAGCAGCCGGGACAGTCGAGGTGCTAAAGGACGCAGAGCAGGATGGTGGCGAGACTCGGGGGTGAGGGTGGCTGAGTGGTCGTGGACACAGCAGCCACGAGCTGGAACCTGCAAGGTGCACAGGTTTTAAATTGGGAAAATGCACTCGCAGAGGCAAGGTGGGGGAGGGGAGTCGGCGATTTGGAGGAGGGCGCCATCCGGCGCAGGACAGCATCCAGCTGAGGGGTCTGGATGTCCCCAGGAGGCAACGGTTTCAGGCCCTTAAACAAAAAGGAAAGTGACAAAAATGGTGTTTGTTGGTTCAGAACAGGGCTCTTCTGAGGGCCGGTCTGGCCTGGGTGAAAAAGTCTTGGAGGGGGAACGGCCTGGAGGGGGTCGCCACCCAGCACAGCAGAAACTTTGCAGAAGTGCTTTTGCATCTGTTGGAAAGATCCCCAGGCTCGGAGTCGCTGTGTGAGTTACGAGCTGTCTCCCCCTCTCCAGAGGGTGTACCCCAGGCTCTTTGCATTTTAGCCATTCTGATTGCAGTTCTGTAGTTTCTTGTTGTATTTTAATTTTCATTTCTGAGATGACTTATGATGTTGAGCAATTTTTCATGCACCGATTGGCTACTTGTATGTTATTTTATGAAGCGTCCAGATCTTTTGCCCAGTTTTAAGCGGGGTGTCTTCTTATTGTTGAGTTGTTGGTGTTCTTGGTCAGATACTTGCTTGTGGGTATTTTCTCCCATCCTGGGTCTCAGCGTTCTGGGATTTCCTCTCACTCCCACTTGTGCTCGTCCCAGATTCTATCCTGAGGATGTCAGAGCAGCAAGGCTGGGGCTTCCACCCCTGTTTTGTGGGTTTTATCTCCCCGCCCCGGGGCTTCCCACTCTGGGCATGGGGCTCACAGATGCCGTAGAGGTTGGCCACTCAGCCACCCAGAGCCAGAAGTTAGCACCTTCTCTGGTGCATTGAAAACCTCTCTTGGTATCGAAGAAGGTCTGTATTTTGTCATCTTTGTATTTCTCTCTCTTTAAACGCCCTTGGTCCCAAGTGCTCTGCTTAAACCTTTCCTGGTTGGCTTTTTGTTTTTCGGTTTTTGAAGGTATTCTGACCCCCACCTGTTGCCTCAACAGCAGCCAGTAGATCGTCTGTTCCCTCTTTCCTTTCTCCTCCCGTTTGGTTGCGTGATTTCTGCTCTCGTCAGAAGGCAACCCCGCGTGCTGAGTCCCCAGCCGCCCGTCTGTGTCCCTGGACTCAGCCTCGCATGTCAGGCTGTCCGGGCTTCGGCGTTCCTGGAGCTCCTGCCCATTCAGACTGCGGCTCTGGACATGTGAAGGAGGTACGGGCTGGACAGAAAACCCTGAGTCACACCTTCGCTTGCACGTCTTGACAGCACAGCTCCTGTTGCCTTGCTTCGCCTGACGCTCCTTCGATTCGCTCGGCTTTGTAAGGTGCTTGACCTTTTCCTGGAGGCTCTGAGAATTCCTCCCTTGTTAAAGACTCATGGTTTCACTGGGATTGGTCTTAATGCGGACCTGATTCCGATGTGTGGAACCAGAGTTCTCCTTCATGGTTTTTGTTGTTGTTGTTATTTGGGGTGAATTTCTGTCCACGGAAGTGTCTGTTTTCTGTTTCTTCTCACACGGGCTTTGTATAGCTGCGGTTCATGGGATTCCTACCTCAGGGTCGCCCCCTCTGCCACCCCAGGGAAGTGCAGCGGGTGTTGAGGGCAGGGAGGGGAGGAGGGTGTGTCTCTCCTTCTTTGTTTCCTTTTGTCCCACAGGGTCCTAATCCCCTTTCACCACATCTCTGAGGGCGCCTACCCATCCAACCGCGTTCTCACACCCCAGAGGCCCCAGGGCTCTGGCTGATCCCCCAGGTCTGCCCAGGCCCCCATCTCCACGGGGGACCGGGGCTCAGCACCCCATCTTCCTTGACGTCACCTCTGCATCCCATCGCGGCCTCTGTCGCTGTTTGCGATCGGTCAGTGGTGCCCAGGCTCTTGTGAATCGGGGGTGGGGGGGTGCCCTCCAGCCACGTCCTAGGCACCTCCTCTGGCTAAATTCTCACTTGTCTCTTTGCCAGAAATAAGGGAACTCTGGGGTTGAGGTCCTCTTGGTCATGAGAAGAGAGGACATTTTCTCCTTCGTAAATCTATAAAGCGCAGAGTCACAATGTGCTCTTTTTTTCTTTTTTAACATCTTTATTGGGGTATAATTGCTTTCCAATGGTGTGTTAGTTTCTGCTTTATAACAAAGTGAATCAGTTATACATATACATGTGTTCCCATATGTCTTGCGTCTCCCTCCCTGCCACCCTCCCCATCCCACCCCTCCAGGCTGTCACGAAGCACCGAGCCGATATCCCTGTGCCATGCGGCTGCTTCCCACTAGCTATCTACCTTACTACGTTTGTTAGTGTGTATATGTCCATGACTCTCTCTCGCCCTGTCACAGCTCACCCTTCCCCCTCCTCATAACCTCAAGTCCATTCTCTAGTAGGTCTGTGTCTTTATTCCTGCCTTACCCCTAGGTTCTTCATGACATTTTTTTTTCTTAAATTCCATATATATGTGTTAGCATACGGTATTTGTCTTTTTCTTTCTGACTTACTTCACTCTGTATGACAGACTCTAGGTCTATCCACCTCATTACAAATAGCTCAATTTCGTTTCTTTTTATGGCTGAGTAATATTCCATTGTATATATGTGCCACATCTTCTTTATCCATTCATCCGATGATGGGCACTTAGGTTGTTTCCATCTCCGGGCTATTGTAAATAGAGCTGCAATGAACATTTTGGTACATGACTCTTTTTGAATTTTGGTTTTCTCAGGGTATATGCCCAGTAGTGGGATTGCTGGGTCATATGGTAGTTCTATTTGTAGTTTTTTAAGGAACCTCCATACTGTTCTCCATAGTGGCTGAACCAATTCACATTCCCACCAGCAGTGCAAGAGGGTTCCCTTTTCTCCACACCCTCTCCAGCATTTATTGTTTCTAGATTTTTTGATGATGGCCATTCTGACTGGTGTGAGATG